CACGAAGACCAGCTGGCATACCGGAACCCAGAAGAGTAACGGGCGATGGCTGGTGTGCCCAGAGACATGGCTCTGCATACCACTTCTGGCACTCATGGCACAGCTTCGCCATCACGACACTACAGTATAACCAACACAAACTATGAAAAGGATATCACTAACTTACATCAAAAACATCTCAGAAACAACAGACTGTTACAACTATACGGCATCACTGTAGCACATAAGCCAACTGAAGTCCTCCAAAACATCTTAAGTAAATCAAAACACCATCAACCCAAGAAGTAAAAGCAGGAGTCATCTACATATACATTCTAAGGCTACTATATAACAGCTACTATGTAGAACAGGCAGCAGAAGACTAGCAGAACGCATGCATGAACACCAACTAGCAGTCAGAAGACATGATGAAAACTCCTTAATATCACAACACATGGACAGACTCAACCACAGTTGACCACAGGGAAACTGTAAGTGTCCTAAACCAAGCTAAACCCAAAAACACCAGGGAATTCTTGGAAGTTTGGCATTCAGACAAATAGGTCATTAATGGGCACCTAGAGGTAAATCACATTTACACATCAGTCAAAAGAGAAAGTAAAAAAAAAACTAAGAACACACCCTCGACAATAGCCTACCAGATAAGCAGATATTAACACCAGAAGGTCAAGCAGAAAACAGTATCCTAATCAAGGATCTACCTAGGAGAAAAACACAGCCCCACCAACATTGGCAACATTCTGAAAACGACATTGGAGAGAGAGAGAAGAAATTGTCATGGTTCAGAAGACGTATTGCAAAAACTGAGAATGTTTATGATGAGCAAAGAATTCAGAAAAGGATATGCTGGTCTGAATTTCTTTATTTGTAAATAAAGATGTCTAGACATCCTTATTGGTATGCCACCAATTATAAGATAGGTGTGCCACTCATCTCATCCAGAGGCAACTTAGGAACCAGGGTTTGTATAGTTTTTCAGGTCTATGAAAAGGCCCCAAAGTAAATTTAGTATGAAAAAAAAAATCATATTGGTGTTATATTGCAGATAAGTATATTATTTCAGCCCTAAGTAATTGCTAATAGTGTTTTATTCTCTTTTTTTAATTTTGTGAATGGCACATGGTGATGATATCATTTGTGTTTCTTTAAAAAAAAACAAAATGATTTTACAACCTCTCGATTCAGAATTTCAGAAATTTGGATACAGCAGAATAGAGCAGATGTTTTAATTATTAAGCCTACCACTTTAGTGCAGAAGAGCATTTTATGATTATGCTACAAAATGAGCTAAATCAAACTCAGTATTTTAGGAGCAGGCTTAATATGTTTAAGATTGGAGTTTTTCATAATATTCAGGCTTCATTTCCTTTTTGAAAAGCTTATATTATGAATGCATCTTAATTTAAAAATAGTCTTTTGAGGCACAACTTGGACTGTCTGTAATATCACAAATGCATTAAGGTATTTCTGAGGTAGTTTTTAATACTTTCAGATACTTAAACTGATAAATTAAATGCCTTGTGATAATATTATAGATAACAAGGTTAACTTGATCAAGAGTATTATTTTGTAGCCCCTGGGCTAATTTCAGGCAGCCTTGCCCTGCTTGAAGCCCCATGCAAAGGACAACTTGACATTTGAGAAATATGGTAAGAGCATCTGGACGTGTTCTAAACATCCATTTATTAGAGAGGGGAAAAATAAAGAGATTTTAAAGAACAAACATGGATTTTCACTTTTGGATCTGGCCATACCCTGCTTGCTTCAGTTGAGCTCCTATAATACAATCCTTCAACAGATTAAGAATAAATTCACACTGGGTTGTGAGGGAACTAGAACACTTCAGCACCAAAATCTGAGTGAAAAATGTATTTATTTGTGTGTTCATTTGTTTATTATTTATACATACATACATATATCTCAGTGCAGTGAACATATCCAACACACATTCCTCTTCCTATTTTCCCACAGCAATAACTCTGTGTGATGAGTTGGGCTGAGAAGAGAGATTGGTGCCAAGGTCATCCAGTTGGCTTTCATAGCTAAGGCAGGACTAGAACTCATGGTCAGCCACTTTCCAGCCTGTTGCCTAGACCAAACTTTCTCAAAATCAATCTGAAATTAATTCGAATGATCTTTATCATGCACTCATGATATACAGAAGAGGTTGATTGATAACTGATACTTTTAGCATTCTTCCAATCTTAAAAGAATGTTTTAAGGGTATTAATCACTCATTAGAGTTAATGAGACTGAACATTTCTGATATCTTTTTTTTTTTTGCAAGACGGATAAGGACCCAATAAATGGGAATAGTTTTTCCTGAGTAATCCATCCAGTGTAACTCTAGCAGATGGTAAACCAGATAAATTCAGGTTTATATTGAAGATTATAGCACTATCCAATAGAGGAAAAATATTACCCCTGTCTTTATTGTCTCTATATATGGCTTCACCAAGCTCATTTGCTGCAGATGCTTCTCCCATGTCCATGTTCCAAGATTTCCATTTGGCCCAGTATTGTAATCCTTAATGGTTGACCTATTTGAAATCCCTCTCAGTTTTCAAATTAGAGAAGATCCTTTTCTTTTCTACAAGGAAGGTCAAAAGCTTTCAATTGCCTCTTAAATTGTATTACATGACAGTTTTCCTCCTGTAACTATATTAACAATAAAAATGTTTGTGCAGAAATTCACAGAAAATGTACCATATTTAATGTCATTAATTTGAAAGCTGTCTCCGTGTAACGGTCCTGATACGTTGATTAATGCACAATGTCTGCTTCGCTGTAGCAGTAATTTTATTTAATGTAATTACTGGTTGGTTAGTTAGATTTATATCACCCTTTCCTCAACGACTTCAAGGAGGCACACGTAGCATTTCTTTTTCTTTTCTCTGCCACAGTGAGGAGGACGGGCTGACAGAAGTTGCCAGGCCCAGAGTCACCTTGTGAACTTCTCTGGTTAAAAAGGCAGATTAGAATCTTAAGTCTCAACAGTTCTGGTCCAAAATACAGGTCGTCCACAACTTACAACAGTTCATTTAGTGACCATTTGAAGTTACATCCCTGAAAAAGTGTGACTTGTGACCATTTTTCACATTTGCATCTGTTACAGCATCCTCTGGTCAAAAATTCAGATGCTTGGCAACTGGCTGGTAGCCAAGCATCCATCTCAGTCATCCAGGTCAAGGTGCTTTTAAAAAAGGCAACTGGACTTTGTTTTTCCTTGAAATCATTTTGCTTCTCGTCCAAGAAGCTTCTTCAGTTCTGACTGAATGGTGGACGATGGAAGGATTTATATTCCTGGCAGTCATCTGGCCGCATATAACACTGAATGAATAAAAGATAAAAAGAAGGACTAATTTGAATTTATATGAGGAGGCTGTGGCAGATATCGGAAGTAGACAGGCCAGGAGAGCTGCTATATTTTCTTAAAAGCGTGGAGTTGCATAGTGGGAAAAGGAAAGGGACAAGAAAGATTTTCTCTTGGAAAAGTGGAGGAAAGAGAACAGGCTTTCTTGCTGAAGCTTCTGTCTACTGTAATGAAGAACACAATACATAATAAAGCCAACAAAATAAATGGCATGTACATATATCATGCAAAGAAATAGCAGTATTTACCTAGACAGGAAAACAACTGAATAAAAGGACAATTTAAATTAGAGAGATTGGTATGATTTTGAATTATTTTCTTTTCAATTTAACTATTTTATCTTTGTTTTACTGCTGGCCTTCTTGCATGGCCTATGTGCCAAAAGAAGACTAAAAAAAATCATATCACAAATAAATCAAGAAAACCATTTGAGAACCTAGGTGGAAATATACTTGGGTAAAATCTAGAGGATGAGACCTTCAAAATTTTCAACAGCTGTTGGTCGTGCTGTATTTAATGTAGGAAAGATCAGAGATTATCCTGTTTTTCAGGATAATTTATTCGGGTTTCAGGATAATTTATTCGGGTTTCGGGATAATTTATTCTAAAACCAGCCTTTCATTTTACAGTGCATCACACGTAGCCATGGTGCCGCCTTTTCCTTTCCCAGAATCCTTTGGGACCCAGTTTGCCAAACATCTATATCTATGTGTTTGAGTTCCTATCAAGAAGCTGAAGAGATTTTGTTTTTTGTCACAAAGGATTCTGGGAAATGAGAAGATGGCACCATGGTGGTGTGATGCATTGTAAAATAAAAGCTTGGTTTTTTAGAACTTCCTTTACCTACCCAAACATGGTAAAACAACAACAACCAAAAACCCCTTTGGAAAACTACAGAATGAATGATGGTATTGTTAACATATTGAAATAATACAATGGTGTAATTAATGATTAGCAGTGAAATAATAAAATTAATAATAATATAAATATTAATAATAAAATGAGTAATTAGATAATGAAAGAATATATTTTAATATAAGCATGTGTATTAATAGTGGAATTACATGGATTAGATGAATGGAAAGAATATAAATAGATCTACCTTATATGTTTAAATGATATTGCAGTTGGTATAAGAATTGTACATTGAAACACTGAACAATGAAAGAATGAAGGATGAAACTTTAATATATACAGATGTGAAGACTTAAAAAAGGAAAATATGAATAACAGAGCAGTGAAAGATGGAAGATAGAAAAGAGATGTCTTTGAATATTACGGTGACATGAATAAAAGTTAGAATAGAAATAAGAGGGGAACAATAATATATATATATTAATATAACAAGATATAATAAAAAGAGGGAGGTTTAGAAATTGAATGGCGGTAGTATTAGATATGTTTAAACAATATGAAACAATGAAAATGAAATGTAATAACTATGAGTAATAATATGTTTATTTGTACTAAAACGTATGATATCCAGGTATCACATTGTTCACAAATTGATATGTATAAGCAACATAAAACAAAAAATACAACCAAACCCTCCTCAACCCCGCCATTTTACATCTTGTCCACAGTCCAATCAGATCTCACTTTTTCCTTGTTCTGATGTCCAATTCAGGTTCTACATGGTCAGCTATTACGAGCGGAGTCATCGAATAGCAGTTGGATCTCGCCATGGTTCAGTGGCCCTCTATGACATCCGGACTGGAAAATGTCAGGTAAATAAATCATCGTGATCCTCTCTCTTTAAACTGCAGAAGTATTGAAAGGAAAGTGACTCGCTCTGCACCAGTTGACATGCTGAGTCGCTGGAACGTTATGGATAATGCTAAGGGGAATCAATAGTTTAATGAAGGACTCAATGTATATACAGTCTCACTGTTTTTGTTTGCTTGTAACTGAATGGTGAGTGCAGATGGGTTAATAATAGCTGTCCAGCACACACGGGGACACACACACGGACACACACACACACACACACACACACGGACACATGCACACACACAAACACACACACACCACAAACTTCTCACACAGTGCTCAGTTTTTCCCTACATCAGTTTTTGTGTTGCATATCTGCGAATGGCTTCCTGGGAATCATTTACTGAGATGTTTTCTTTTTTAAATACAAATTCCATTCTCAACATTGAGAGTCACTAAAGAGATCAGTGATAGTTGTCACCAAAGTAAGTCAAATAAGATGCAGTCGCAAAAACATTTACTAAAACCTCTGAGTAATCATATTTGAGAATGGGCTATAAAGATTCTTAATTGGGTCAAAGCTCTCTAGGGCTTTCCACAAATGCATGAACAGAAAAGGTACCTAATCTTATGAGACATGTGCTGACATTATCACATTGCCAGGAACCATGATTCAAAAAAGTCCTGGGGCTTATTTTTCCCAGTGTTTTCTAGGCATTTTAATCCTGACATGTCTGTATCTATCTAAACCAAGTTTGGACTCTTGCAGCTGCAATGGTTAATAATGTCTAATTATTAATTATATTTGGTGCGTGGTACATAACCACAATCTCAGCTTTGTTTAAAAATGCAGCTTTAATCTTCGGTACGTTTTCTTTGTTTCACTAATTTCTTAAATTAACTAGTAAACTGAACGAATGTTCCATTTGTTTTAAAATATAGATCTCTGATCCTCCAAAGAACCATCGTTTTTTGTTTTTTTTAAAAAAAACCCTAATCTGGACAGCCTAGAGAAGTTTATTCACAGTTTAACTAATTACATCTCTTGAATGGTGCAATTTTGTTAAAGAAATACAATTGATGGGCTGGTAAACTATTGAAATACAGTTTCGTGTTCAGATATAGCAAGCATCAATCTCTAGTCTAGTTATTAATCGTCAAGTGTCAACTAATTTCATAAGTCTCCTTAATATCGGCAGTTTCCTTACTCCTAAATTAAACAAATTAGTCTCTTACTGAAAGATTATATAATTTAATTGGTGCAGTTTCAATTCCTGTTTCTCAAAATGTGCATAATATTAGTTGGTGTTCAAGGGAAGACCTGATGTATTTTCGTGGGAACTTTCCATTCACATTTTGTACATCTTTTGTTTTCTGTGCTTTGTTCTCCTTACCAACCAAAAAAAAAATGTTTTTAATTCTTTGTTGGTTCTCGGTTTTGATTCTATATCTCGCTTTTTAATAATTTATTTGCTAATGTATCCATAGGGTAGACATATAGAATTCTGCTTTGACCACCGGTGCTAGAAAAATGGCTCCACATAATAGATTTCAAAATTTGTCTAAGTTAAAAATGGGTAATGAAGGTTAAAAGAGTATTCTTACCTAAATGACAAAAAAAGAGCTGAATCTAGCAAGAAAATCTTCTTTCTGGCTTGCTTTGCCTTTTGTTTAATAGACATGCTTGGATATCTGCTCTTTCTCCTCTTCCAGTAGTCCTCTGGTATGCATCCTGTGGATTAACCTCAGCTGGTTTAAAAATATACCAACGTTTTGTTTCACGTGCATCTATTGTTAAATTAGTTCAACTAAACCAAGGCCATGATCATAGAAAACAGAGTTGGAAGGGACCTTGAAGCAGGGGTAGGATTCAAATTTTTTAACAACTGGTTCTGTGGGTGTGGCTTAGTTGGTGGGCGTGGCTTGGTGGTCATGTGACTGGGTGGATGTGGCTTGGTGGTCATGTTATTGGCTGGGTGTGGCCAACTCAATATCAGTCACATTGAGGCACGCATCTCCTCACCTGGCCTCTCATGACTGTGGGGATGCTGCAACAGTCGTAAGTATGAAAAATGGTCATAAGACCCTTTTTTCAGTGCCATTGTAACTTTGAATGGTCACTCCACACAAGCAAAGTACCAGCAAAGGAGGGGGGAAAAATTCCGGAGACGTTCTTGAGACAGGAAGTCTAGTCCTGCCAAGAAGGGTTAATGGAGAGGCAGATTCTGTAAGCAACACCAGAATATTTCCTTCCTGCCTTCCTTACAGGATTAGGCCACTAATTTCTTCTAAGAACAGGTTCTCCGAACTGCTTAGAATGTTAACAAGCAGTTCTAGTGAATAGGTGTGAACTGCCACCCCTGCCTTGGAGGTCATCTAGTCCAACCCCCTGCTCGAGCAGGAGAGTCTATTCCAAATATTAGCCAATACCTAGGATAAAACTTACAGCCTCCTGATTGTGAGGCAAGCGCTCCACAGATGTGGCTATACCATTTATGAGAACAATTCGGTTTAATGTAGTTGATGATTCTCCAGTGACAGGAATATGTTGCAAAGAAAAATACCCCTTTTTTAAGCAACCTTCAGTGTTGACAGTTATTACACATGCCATAGGTTCGCCATCACAGACCTAAAGATTCAGTCCACTTCTTTGGATATGCTTGACCCTCAAGGTTAAATCTTCTCTAAGGGAATGTTCAGAGACATTTGATATTCATACATTTACAGTTATTTAATGTTCTTTCTTTCTTTATACATTTATTTATAAATTATTTATATGTTTACAAAGTTATTTAATATTCTTAATAGGGACATTTTTTTGCTTCTTATGGACGGGTATTACATTTTTACTAATGTGTTTTATCTCATATTTTGAAAAAACACGAAGAATTAGAAGAGGACACAGCATATAAATGTTGGCAAATCTATAAAAATATTCATTTCCATGAACCAGGATCCAAGAGGTCATTTTAGCGATGCCAGCAAAAGGTTTATCCTAAGCGCAAAGAAAGGTGGAAGTAAGGAATTGCTGCTCACTGAATGAAAAACTGAAAGGATATTACAGTTATAATGAAGCAGGGAAACAAATTACATTGATGGGTTTTAGTAGCAGGGACAGACAATGTACCACACAAAGACGGGAGGAGATATTACTGAAGAAATTTCAAGGATAAAAGGGAAGAAGGAGATACAGCATATTTATTGCAAATTAGAACCTATTGGAAACTACTATGCATTTTGTTTAGTTGCAATTACTTGGAAACCTACTAAGGGTTTTGTGTTTGCTGCTGGAATATGTGGACAATTACATTCAAAAATGGATATATTCGGGCCAGTACAGACCAGCCTGTTGTACTGTAAATGAGGTGAAAAGGATCAGAATTGTATTCTGCCAACTATCATTTGTAAGTACAATTTAACCTGGAGAGATTTTCCTACCATTTTCTGAAAAACCATCTTAAAAAGAAGAAAGGAAGGGCAGATATTTTATAGTAAGTAGAAATGGCACATTATTAAAAAGAAAAAAAATCAAGAGTTAGAAGACTAAACTGCACATATCTGTAAGTTGGTGGTTGTATTTGAATTTTGAGGAAGCTCACTGTAGAAGAATAAGATTTATTTGGCTTCTAAAACAATCACAGATAAATAACTTTTCAACAGAATACAAGGCAAAAGTGAGGTTAGAGCCCCAAAATATACATTCATCTATTTTAGCCTTTTTTTCTTTTGTTTTAGCCAAATCCCATTTCACAGGAAGGCAAACTGTTGAATCTAAAACATGAGTAACTTATCTGAATGTGGCTATAAATACTACCTGAAAGAAAATTACCCTATATTTCAAACAATTTGTTTGAAAACCTTAAACAATAAATAGTCATGGAAGCCATCCACAATGATGGATTTTCAAGGATTTATTAAATATATTGTTCAGTAGTAGTGGTGGTGGCTGTTGTAGTAGTAAATATAATTATATTCATTTTGAATCACATTTTCTTTGTTCTACTAAACTTTTAGTATTGCAAACAAAATTTAAAACCAGTACCAATATAGCAAACATTGGAATGGAATGGAATGGAATGGAATGGAATGGAATGGAATAGAATAGAATAGAATAGAATAGAATAGAATAGAATAGAATAGAATAGAATAGAATAGAAT